CATGCTCCTTCTCGAACCCAATTTAAAGCACTATTAGACATTTATTTATGCGAATCCTCGCGCTGGCGAGCATGCTGCCCCGCGCTGAGAACATAAAGAGCAGTGCTACACCCTTTTTCACTGGTGCTTTTCAGGTGAACGACAGCCACTGACCGACAAGAACAAAACCGACCCGGGAAACTTGGGCAAAAGCCTCGATCCTGTGTATCAATCCGTGAATCCGTGAAACCGTGATACTCTGGTTATCTGGTTATCCTCTATCTATATAACAGCATTTTTACCTTTGGATTGTTGGATACAAGATATCCATGCGTTCCTCGTGTCATGCAAAGCTTTAAGCCAATACTGTACATCCGTGAATCCGTGAAACCGTGATACTCTGGTTATCTGGTTATCTCTCCTCTATATAACAGCATTTTTACCTTTGGATTGTTGGATACAAGATATCCATGCGTTCCTCGTGTCATGCAAAGCTTTAAGCCAGGCAATACTGTACCAGCTCGAGACCAGCATGCTGAAATAAGGGATTATTCCTCCTGAACTAACCTCCGAAAGTCATGAATGTGAGTTGCGGCGTATTTCAACTCCAAGGTCATGGAAAGTCAGGACGTCCATACTATGTAGGGCTCATGCATCTGGGACTAATGCGCACGCTGCTTCATATAGACTGGTTTGCGGGGATGTCAAGGGCAACCTGAAGTCAATATTCTCAAGGGTGGCTAAGGTTACTAAGGCAGCAGGGTCGTTCGACGTAGGTTTTGACGTCTGAAATCAAGTACCCCGAACTAATTCTTTTTAGATGATGTTTTGCGTGGGTGACTTCTTCGGAGAAAATACAAGTGAAATCGAGGCTGCTATTGACGGGGATCTAAAAAGTATGTGGTTTCATTTCAGTGAAAAAGTGTATCCAATTTATTCTCAGTACCTTTACCGACTTACATCGTCTCCCCTGTCCAGAATGTCGCCAAAAAGTATGTCGACGAGAAAGGTTGCACGCTTTGTGAAAATCTTGTGTTTTTGGGTATGTGTATTCAACTTTCCTCATCGCCATCATAAGGCTCTCAGGGTATATACACAACTGTTTCGGGCTTGCGAGTTGTCTACATCTCCGACATTGGTCATGACTCAGATGGAGAAGCACATTTATCTTCTTCTTTGCTTTCAAGCGTGACGGCTGCGGAGGATATCGGATTCATTGGTGTAGATCTTCTGCTCACACCGAACTGGCCCAGCGGTATAGGGAATCGCACTAGCACTCCTCTGCCCGATGAGTGCATCGTGCTTAGCAAGACTGGTTCAAAAGCCATTTCAAAACTGGCATATTTTCTGCGCCCTCGATATCACTTCTCTAGCGGAATGGGCTGCTACTATGAGAGGGCTCCATACAGGTAAGGTTTCTGCAGCTCTAACTTGTCTCTGGAATCCGGATGCACTTATATGAACGGTACTTCGTTTATGTAGAAGCCCCACTGCGCACGTTTGAACATGGCTTTTAGTCCTAGAACATTTGTCTACACTTTGACCCGCTAGGATTTTAGCTGACCCACTTTAACACCACTGTTCTTCAATCAAGTTTTGACAATGAGTTAAAGTGACGTTACAACAAGATCAATCTTCCCAAAGCCGTGCATTTTGCCAGAGCAAATACCTCACTTCCGTACCACTTGTGTTGACAGACGTGCCAGCACTACTTGTTCAATATTTCCTCAACCGTTTACAGCTTGTTTATGGTATTTATTCAGGACCCGAGGAAACTGCATCGTTTCTGAGAGCTCATTAATGCACCACGGCCGTGGCTAGCCTCGTGTCGTTGTGTGCGTACTTTCTAACGATAGCTAGATTTTGGTCTCAGACATTAGTTCGTTTCACACCGATTTTCTCCTCGAGATGGCTCCGTGGTCCGTGGTTCGAAAACAGCCTGTGAATTCCGATTACCCATGTCAATTTTTGCTCAGCCTGACAGTATCCAATCCTTCGTGTCTCTTTCGGATGAGATGGAAACCAAGCGCCGAAAGGGTGTTACGACTGAGTGATTTCTTTCTATTCCCTTTATTTCATTTAGTCAGCATACATTAGACACTTTAATTCGTCTTACATCGGGAGATCATAGTCTTAAAGCTGAATAAAGATCGTACTAAAGAAGAGATGGTCTGCGACCATCCAGCAGGTGATGTGAACCTAGCCAGTCAACGTGTGTGATGACAGGATTGAAAATGGTATTTGGGTCGAGTTTTTCTACTTCACTAGGTTTACCCAAAAACAGGCTCCAATCCTCACCCTCGACAGCATGACACAGCATCAGTGATCAGACATTCCCACCACGCTCCGGTGATGCTGCTAACGGACCGATGGTCAGACACCAAACGTTTTTAATGTCAACCCTCTGCGGTCATGTTTCCTAACCATGTATTAACAGCCCGGAGATTATTTCAGTTAATCCGTGCGACCGGTCCCCGGAAACCACCTGTGAGTGAAAGCATCAAGCATCAGAATGGAACGACCATCTCCGATAAGGAGGAACGCCTTGACCGGTGGGCTGAATACTTTGAACAACAAATGTCTTGGCCACCAGCCGGCACTCATCTACAGCCCACAGGTGAAGTAGAACCCTGGACGGTGAACGTGGAACCACCTACGGCCTCGGAGGTTCACGGCTGCATACGTC